AAAAAAAAAAAAAAAAAAAAAGAAAGGATCTCATTGCTTTTATCGTATATACTGGTAACTTCCCGGTACTAAGAAGCCCCTCTCCAGGCCCTGGCTACCTCCTGGTCATCTAAGTGGCACCACAAGGAGGCAGAGGCTGAGTGCCAAGCAGAAAGAGAGAACGTGTATTACAGGAGCTCGGAGGAACCAGGAATTCCCATGGGATTGGGGGGGGGCGCGTTACTGGCTGGCAGCCTCCCTGGAGAGACGAAGACTTGATTTAGAATGGACTTAAACCTGGAGGAGATGGGAGGGAACCAAGTATTCTGGTCTTCAAGGCACAAGGCAGGAGTAGAGTTTGGGAGATCAGTAGAAAGGCAAGGGAAGGCAGGAGGGAAAACCTGGGGCAAGGGCTTCAAGTGCCACCGAGACACACAGAGGACCCGGGGCTTGCCTCGGCAGGTGTGGGGAGCCACAGCGGGTTGTAGAGCAGGGGGGTATAGTGTGGTGAATAGGAAGGTTTGTCTGGCACAATGGAGTAGCCACTGGAGTGAGGGAGACCGGTATGAAGACTTTGTCAGTACCCTAAAAATGAAGGTTCTTAGGGTGCAGAGAGCAGAGGAGGGGCATGGCATGGATGATGAGGGTAACAAAGTAAGGAAGATTTGAATAGACAGTTGACCAAAGAAAGTATACAGATGGCTAAGAAGCACGAGAAAAGATGTCTTTCATCTTTAGGGAAATACAAATCAAAACCCCAATAAGATAGCCCTTTAGACCCACTAGAGTGGGTAAAATTAAATAGACCAGAGGCAGGATTGGTGGAGGGTGTGACGAGACAGTAAGGTGGGTCAATCCCTTTGGAAAACACCGTGGCAGTTTCTTACCAGGTTAAATATACACCCGTCCCATGACCCAGCAGTTCAGCTCCCGGGTATTTGCCCAACAGGAATGAAAACATCTGTCTACACAAAGTCTTGTACCTGAATGACCCTAGCAGCATTATTTAGAATAGCCAAACTGGAAATAGCGCCATGCCTATGAAGCAGAGAATGAATGAGCCGATACATTTGTCAAATGTGTCTAAATAAAAAGAAGCACCTGGTACCGGCAGCAACACAGGTGAGCTGGTGGAGGAAATCCCAGACCTTAGCGGAGGGAAGGAAGCCTGACACAAACAAGTGTTTACAGTAGGGTTCCATTGATAGGAAGCTCAAAAACAGGCAAAATTAACATTCAGTATATAAATCAAGTCAGCAGTTGCCTGGGGTAGGGTGGACGGGGGACATTAATTGCAATGGGTCATGAGGAACCTCCAAGATGGAACTGCCCTGTGTCTTGATTACAGTGGTGTGCATACATTTATCAAAAGCCATCAATCTGCACTCTTAAAATAGGTGCATTTTTTTAGATTTAACTATACTTCAATAAAGTGGATTAATGCAAAAACAAAACAGCAAGGAGGATTTTCTTTTAAAATCAAAAGAGCGTTTTGTAAGCTGAACATGCACTCTCCTTAGGGATATACTCATCAGCAAGGCGAAGAAACATACAAAAACATTGCTGAGTGTGAAGGCTCATGCCTGTAATCCCACCACTTTGAGAGGCCAAGGTGAGTGGATTGCCTGAGCACGCGGGTTCGAGACCAGTCTGGGCAACTTGGCAAGACCTCGTCTCCACAGTAAATCAAAAAAGTTAGCCAGGCATGTTAGCACACACCTGTAGTTCTGGCTATTTGGAAGGTTGAGGCAGAAGGATCACCTTAGCCTACCAGGTCGACGCTGGGGTGGCCATGAGTGTGCCACTGCACTCCAGCCTGGGCAACAGAGTGAGACTCCAACTCAAAAAAAAAAAAAAAGAACAAAACATTCATGGCAGCAATACTCAAAACAGATTAAAAATTAGGGACAACTCAAATGTCCACCAACAATGGAAGAGAGAAATAAAATGCCGTGAATACTACACAGCCCAAACCTAATGTTGAACAAAATAAACCAGACACAAAGAGCACAGACCGGATGGTTCCATTTATATAAAGTTCAAAAACAGGCAAAACTAATCTATGGTGTTAGAAGTTAGGGTGGCTTTGACTAATTAGGGGTTGTGACTGGAAGGGGACGTGAGGGGTTCTGTGGGGGCTAGTGAATATTTTGTTTCTGAATCTGGGTTCTAGTACCCTTGAGTATATTCAGTC